CGCGCATGGGCAGGGCTAGAACGTCCAAACCCCCCACTTAACCACCTACGTTCTTCTCCGTCTTACCCTCTGCTACGCTCTCTGTCTATGCGCAGAACGGACGAGAATCGGTCCGAGAGCGAGGTTACTCTCATTTTGAACGATGTATACTGAGCGCTCCTGATTTTATCGCTGTTGAGCCAAAATCAGTGCATTACTGTGCATTTATCCAGTGTACTGTACAAATCGGTACAACAATAATTACGAATTAACACCAACTATAGATGTACGCCACATGTTTATAAAAATTAGATTTTAGTAGCGAAAGGGATAAAAATACTTGGACCAAGTATTAACCAAAACTGTTTTTAAATAGTTTTTATTTACTGCACGTCTATCGTTAAAGTACATACAGAAAAAATTGCTCTCCAAATGCTTGCCGCTATATTAAAAGGCACAATTTTCACGCATTTTCCATAGTTCAGACTGCCCCAATTAGCTAAAAAACGCCACTATAGTGGCTTTAGCGCAGGTCATCTTTGTAAACAGAACGCCACTACAGTGGCTTTCGCGTATAAATAAATTACAATTTATTCACCTATAATCTCTATTCTGATTTAATTTCACAATGGAAAGCGTCATCAGACGCAAATCGCAGTACTAAATTATTTACGCGCATTTCGCGTGAAATCGTGCCGTACAAAGATACGGCACCGTGGAAAGTCCAGCCGTAGCTAAGAGGTTAATGGTCGTGCTGACTGTGATTAGTGCTGCGGGGCTACTAAGAAAAATTTGCCTATCGGTAATCTTTCTCTCACTCAGACTGCGCGGCATTGTCCTTCAGTCCAACCGCAAATTTATCTCTCTTACTCATGTTACACCACATATTCTTAAATTAAATAAGAATTCGTTGCACATTTTTGCGTACAATCTCCATAAAAGTGACAGATTTACCAATCAAACATCATACACTATCACTGTTGCGTCCCGTACACCGCGATTCGTTCAGAGAATTTCTCGCTTACACTTGTTCGCGGCGATCTATCGAGACGCTGGCTTTTGTGAAATTAATCAGGCAAGCCTGGTTGAAAAGTAGTAAGTTCGCGTTCTACGTACAAGTCTAGTGTTACTCGTGTTTTTCCGAAGAATATATACATAGATATACATAGCCAGTAAACGAATCATAAGGCAAGAGGTTAAAGTGCTCTTTACTGACCTAAAAGCGAAGATTATCGGTTAGTTCTTCGTAGTGTGAATGGAGAAGTCTCCAAACAACGTCACTTCATAGTTCAAATCCACGTTCTCTTCCTGTAAGTGTTATCTCTCCTATAACAGTTTGTTCGAACTACTATTAATACAACGAGGCAAAATAATCTTCCATTATTACCAAGTGTAGTGGCTATTATCTATCTCACGCCCGATATTCTAATTTTTCCAGAACACATTTAGAAACATTACACACTACCGCGTCGAAACTTCTAATTCTGACGTGCACGTTACAGAAAATCCAATATTAACCCCTTAACCTGTGAGTTTTTTCTGACTATGCATCTAAGCGTCAGTCATTTGGTGTTTCAGTACTGTGTCAGGTAACAAAAGTTTATCTGTTATAGATTAATTACATTTCGTAATCCTCAGTCTTGCAAATTCCAACGAAAATTAGGATTACAATGAATTTTTCTTATTAACCCTTTGAGTACTCCTTGCCGAAGCTCTCCGTATGGACGGAATACTTTTTTGCTAGTGTGAACTCTGTTGATTGAGTGTAGAAGACGCAACTAACAATAAGTTATTATTGTAATTCTCGTACACCAAATTAAACAACACACATGTATTCTTCATAGGTAGCTAAGGAACAAATGTATCCATCTCATATAAAGATAATTGTAACTACACTACACGGGAGATCGTGAAAATTAACGTCTATATGCGTCCATAGCACTCAGAAGGTTAACCCTAGAGCGGTCTTCGGGTCTTTTTTGACCCACCGCCTTTTTACATTTTTAGTCATTTTTGCTCTTATCAAGTTTACGTTCCTTAACATTATTTCAAACGTTTATTGTCTAGGTTCATATGTCGCGTTGGAAACAAAAATTATTACACATAAGGTCTTAGGTCCTTTTTGACCCAAACGTCTTAAGTGTACAGTCAAAACGAAGAACGCAGTAGTTTTGTCATATCTTGACTAGAATTTCTGTCACGAGTGTGACTCGTTGTTATAGGTTCAACACTCTTATTCTTTTGCACAGTTTCACTTATTTCTCCTGTTGCAATTTATACCTACGATCCTAAGATTTTCTCAGAAGTATCGTTGCACTTGTATCTCCGCGTTTCTCCTCGCTTTTTCCAACGAAATTGCAGCCGGTGTCGAGCTCGGTTCGCAGGAAATTCGCTCCGTAGATGTCTGAAGAGAGAGTGGCGCTGGTATAATATCGA